ACGTGGACATTGAACTACGTAGCCAATATCCACATTTTGCTAAGTGGGTAACGCAGATTTGCACAATTTTAGCCCCGTCCCGCGCTATGGTTAGATCCCATGCAATGATTTTGTACTTAAAATAATCTTAAGTACAAAAGCATCGCACAGGACCTGACTATAGCACGAAACGCAACCAAAATTTCGCAAATCTGCGTTACCCACTTGGCAAAATGTGGATATTGGCTACGTAGTTCAATGTCCACGTTTTCAATGTCCACAGAGGGCGTATCGCATTCGCCAATCACGAAAAACGGGGCCGTGACATCTCTCAGGCTTCTCTCTGACCAAGACGACGAAGACGGTTCTTAAGAGGATCCCGTAGCGGGTCTGTTTTACCGACAGAATACCATTTTCGTAATTATAACCTATCGTCGTATTAAATTCATGGAATCAAAAATGCTTGCGTACAATTACAGTATATGCATTGATGATCCCGGGAAACTCCAATTTTATACCAAAAATCAGTAAAAATTACAAAATTCATATATCGATCACATATAACCTCATTTAGACGAACTGTCAACTCCGTCATACTTGTGCTTCGTATAAAAGTTCTACAACTTGTACTCACATGAAACTGAGTTTCCCAGGATTCGATGACATGTAGAATTACTGTGAAACCCTCTAAATTGGGATTAGACGTTTAAAATAAGAGTATAGCTAGTATTAAACTTTCGTGTTTATGTATGGGTGTGATGTATCGTAGTAGTGTGTCCGTGTGCTCATGTATATTACGAAAATGGTAATTCTGTCGGTAATACAGACCTACTACGGGATCCTCTTAATACGTAATCCTACGTAATCTGCCCAACATGCGGACTTTGCATTGCAATATCTCCACTCATGGGCCACATAGGAGAAAAATAAAAACACTTTTATTATGCAAATCGTACCCAAGCTATCGATTAAGCGCAGTCTCAAGTTCGTCGGATGAGCCGTTGTTGAGATCCGAAATTCTGAGGGCCCGTCAACTCGCGTACTCGCGTAAACTACACGGTCGGTGTCGCGCGCGTGGTTTAGCTTGTCGCTTAATTGTTGTCGCTTATACTTGGCGCGAGACACTACCGTGTCTCGTGATCACCGGGATGCCTTTGATTAGCGCGAACACCTGCACGCGTACTCTTATTTTCCTTGTTATGAGTCATGGGGTCAAGCGCCGAAACCTGGCTGCTGACAAAGTCTTTCTTATCTAGGCACGTGATGCCAGGAAGTTCCACGTTTAAACTCGCGTCTACTGCATCGGCATGTAATCCCAGACAGCACATGATATTACACGAATATTCTATACTCATACTATGAATGTATCGTACTGTACATAATATACTGAGAATATCTCTATAATATCTCCTGTAGTATATCAGTTTTCGAATATTTTTAGGATGTTTTCAGAACATCTTTTACAGTATATTATTTCTCGTATATATATCGTATATTATCAGAATATATTGTTACGTATATTATAAAACAATACTGTAAAACGTACTGTATTTAACATACTGAGATCATCCCTATAACATTTTTAGTAGTATATTATTGTAGGAATCGATAAATTTCTTAGTTTAAAACATGTACATATATTCAACCGACGTGCTTATGTTCCGTCCTGTGTGTTCTCGAGTCGAATCATTTGCCTACGCTTTATTATTATTCCTTGTTAGCCCGAACGTGTTGTCTTGTCCGTTATCGAGACAATGCCTTTATTATTACCAGCGAAAGCAAAGCGGGCAACGATTGCCACGACCTTCTCGAACGGTCGACACATATGAGAGCCGAAAATAATATCGACGACAAAAGGTCAGACAGAAGACCGAGTCGAACGAAAAGGAACAGACGTGTTTCCCGTGTGTAAAAGTCGGACCGAAGATCTCTGTACAAATCGCGCGAAATAGAACTGTATACGCGCAATTATAGTTGCCTTGAATTATAAACATATAATTAAACGTATTGATAGAGAGTAGTCTATTCTATTATTAATTATTTATCACGTATAATTTCGGAAACCCGCAAACCTACATTATTTTTCGCATATTCTCGTATATTTTCAGAACATGTAGTACTAGTAACCACTTACTGCCGCGATGTGGCGACCGCGCGTTAGCCTTCTCGTAAGTAAAAATCATTCTGTATTAGTATAAGAGACGAGCCGATATGATCTGACAACTGGTTGTCTGGATCATGGATAAACTTCAATGACCTGAATATACTTTTGATGATTACATAATTTATAACACATTTTAAACATTATTTATTTTTAAGGTTAAAAATTAAATATTTTTAATAGGATGCCTACTGATGCTCTACTACCCTCCTATTAGAAATTATAAGGCGTAACAAGGGGCAAGTCATGACGTCTTGATAAAGAAAACCTGACCAGGCAATTAATTATGTGATCAAAATATTTTATTAATATACCTACGATATACCAAGAAATATTCTCAGTATATACTGAGTAAGCTTCTAGGGCAGACATAGAAACATCCTCCGTACATTCTCAAAATATCGTGGTACGTATTTCGAATATTAATGGAATATACACAATCTACGTTTGCGATATACTGCGTATATACTCAGAATCTACCTGTGCTGTATGGGATAGATATCACCGGAGATGCCTTTGATTAGCGCCGATACCACAGCTGCACGTATTAATATTATTTTCCATTGTATGAGATCAAGCGCCGAAACCTGGCTGCTGACAAAAGTCTTTGGCAATCCGCGGCGCGTGTATGTAATAGATATCACCGGGGGATGACGATATACAAATGATTAGCGCAGACTCACAGCTGCGCGCATCCATGGCATGAGTCATGAGGTCAAACGCCTAAACCTGGCTGCTGACAGCGACTTTTTATGGTATATAAACGGTCCGGAAGCCCGCTGTACCACAGTAGGAGATTTTATACGAGATCGAGAACTAAGAATGCGTTGGGACCCACGAACGCATCGTTAGACAAGAAGTTCGTATTTATCATCCAGTTTCTTCGTGTCCTGATAGGCCTTAAGATTTCCTTAGCAAGAATGAATTATTACACTCCTCAGGAAATGTCATCCACCAAGAAACAGCGTAGCTGTTATATACGATAACTTAATATTAATATACGATTAATATACGATATATTAATATACGATAACTTTGTAGTACTTACTACTTTGTAGTAAGTACTACAAAGTTATCGTATATTTTCCTTTACCATTTTCCACATTTAATTGTATTTTTCAAACAGTTTTAACAATCGTCGTTACACACCGTATGTTCATCGAAGCAGTTATACGCCATCCGTTTCTCAAGATGAAACTGTATCGTGCAAGAAACAGTGTGGTGACGTGTGAGTACCATAAAGCTACTGCATATTTGCACACATTTTTTTACACATATAATTGTATTTATTTTACTTTATACACACATTCCTTCAGTTCTGATGATGAATCTCATAACCCACCGCGTATCATGTGCAGGAGGTTACCACTGACATCTACAGCATTCAAATACAGAGATATTGGGATCAGAGTAGTACCTCGTGCATCCTACGTAGAAATAATTCTCGGCGATAATCAAGGACGTCAGATGGAGTTAGATCAATCAATTTGGAAAGAATACAGAAATATTCAATCAAAAATAGACCAGCTGCTAAAGGCAACAGATGCGTCATCATCGTCAGCGATACAGCTTAATCATTTAGCTATAGAACTAGTTAGAACGCGCCACGGAAATATTGTAAAAGTAACATCAAATAATACTTCTATGTACATGAAACCATCAACCATATCATTTTTATTTGAACTGGAACACTGTGTAGACTGCATATATTTTCAACTGTATGCGGATCTAGAAACTGTACATGAAAGCTTCGAAGAACTCGTTGTGCATGTACAAGATATGTGGATGAGTGGCGAAAAAAAATCCGATACACCGAACGATGCAGTTAGAATCCTACACGACAAGTACTATAAAAATTCAACCGAAAATTGTGAATTTATTTCGATCATAAAGTGCAAATTAATGGCTTATGCCGTAAAAGAAATTCTTGCCGAAGCCCATAAACGGGGTGATGTATTTTGATAAATTGAGATAATAAAATGAGATTAAAATTTTTTAATGACATACATTTTCTTTCACTTCCAATCCATTCTATCTTCCCTTCCCAAGTAGTTAATAAGAAGAAGAGCGACAACGTACCCAAGCAGCAAAATAGGGCGAAATTACGTTTATTTTACTTTCTGATAGGTTGAAAAGTCTGTTCGACGAAGCCCAATTTATGTTGTATCGACGTCGAAAGAAGATAAGTGGGGAATAAAGTAGAAGTAATTTTACGGTTGAAATTAGGTAACGTAAGGTATTTCGTCCTATAAGTCATAGTCTGATTTTGTGAAATGGACCTAGCAGAAGGTCGAATATCAGGCACATCTTGGTAATTTTGACCAAATTGTACCCTCTTTTCGGTAAAACTTCACAAACACGGACCCAGCCCTTGACCTTGGCATAT